TGTGGGGGGTGGCATTAAAAGAATAAAGAAAAAAATTCTTTTATTTATTTATGTATAGTTGATGTCTCATTTCAGTAGATTGGGGTTCAAAATAAGATCCTGTTTTTATTTTTATTTTTTCATTAATTTTTATTAGCTGGAGGCTAATTACTTTACAATATTATAGTGGGTTTTGCCATACATTGACATGAATCAGCCATGGATTTACATGTGTTCCCCATCCTGATCCCCCCTCCCATCTCCCTCCGCATCCAGTCCCTCTGGGTCTTCCCAGTGAACCAGCCCTAAGCACTTGTCTCATGCATCCAACCTGGGCTGGTGAAGATCCTGTTTTTAAAAAATAAAAGCAAATGGCTGGATCCCTCTTATTAAAATATAAGCTCAGTAAGAGCAATTTTGTGTATCTTGTTCACTGTTGATCTCTGACATTTAAAATAGCATCTTATACACAATAGACTTCCAGTAAAAATTTTCTGAATGAGTCCCAGTTTAGGGGGAGAAAGAACGTTTTTCTTCATTCTTTCAGTGCCCCCTCCACACACTGATAAATATGCATATTGTAAGTACTCTCTCACTTACACCTTTAGTGAATATCAGTTGTAGATAGCTTCTGAAGGCTGTCATAAAATTTGGCAGTGTAACATCTTCTGTATAGTCTTGGATCATTTGAGTACCATTTAGATTCATTTGAGTGCCATTTAGATGGAATGGAACACTTTAGCTGTAACTGCTATCTCATGGAAGAGAAGTTTTGTTTTTTTTATCCTATCTGTATAGGAAATGCTACTTCTGCCTGCTCATTTAAGAAATCTCTTTAACAGCATCTTTGAAATAATAAAAAGCAAACTCTGTATTTCAGGAATTGGTGCTCTGCTTATCTTTAAACATTTATCATTGCCATTGTTTTTCAGTCAGAGGTTTTTGAAGTATTGTTTCGTTTTTAAGGAATAAAAGTAATTTATTAGTCTCTGTGTAAATGAACTTTATGATCCTAATTTGACAGATTTAAGATGTGATAAAGGTTAGTCTCTAGAAATTTAGATGAACAGTTCACATCATGCATTATTTTCTATTTAACCCTAATCCTTTGTTTGATTTATTTACCTGATAGGTTTTATTTGACTCTTAGTAACCATCAGTGGGAAGATCCCCTGGAGAAGGGAAAGGCTACCCACTACAGTATTCTGGCCTGGAGAATTTCATGGACTGCATAGTCCATGGGGTCGCAAAGAGTCAGACACCGGACACGACTGAGTGACTTTCAGTTCAATTCAGTTCAACCATCAGTGAATAAAAACATTTGAATTTTAATTTCTAAGATTTCATGTATCATACAATGTGTCAAACTTAATATTTTAACTATATGTGACTGAATTACAAGCAGTATCATGGTTGGGGTGTTTTTTTTAAAAACATTAGCATTTCAACATAGTAACTAAATACAGTTGAATTGATTCTACATAGTAAATGTTGATTTTAGTTCTCACTGCCTTTATGTTGAATGATTTCTGCTTTAAAGTTTTATGCTCCTGAAATCAACCATACTCTGTAGCCTTCACTACCACCCCTTTTCACTCTTAATTCTGAGAAAAAGATATTTTTTTACTTTTATACCTATAACACAGAGGCTTTGAGTGTTCCCTGAATGTCAGAGGTTTAGTGTGAAAAACAAAGAGAAAATGATTCTGTAAGTAGATAGACAAGGCCTTGCCTAATGGGAGCGTCAGTAGAGGAAATTTACAAGGGAACAAGTAATTATAATTCAGTAGGACAAACCCAGTAACAAAAATGTGATACCTAGTACAAGGATTAGCACAGAGCAGAGTATAAGGCCCATAGATCAGGGGCAATTTTTGATTAATCTCTATGTATCCAGGCTGGTATTTAATAGGTTCAATAAATCAGTTAAATGAATGAGTAAATTACTGCCTTAGAAAGAGACAAGAAGCAAAGAAGTCTTCCCAAATGAGATGAGATCTGGGTTTTGAAAATCAAATAGGTAGACAAAAGGGCAAGAGAATGAATGATGGCCGTGGAGAACAGTGTGAGCGAAAACTGCATGCCATGTTTCACACACTGCAGATAGTACGAATTGCTTCAGCATAAAGTGTAAGCTGAAGAGCCGCTAAAGATGGAGCTGTATTAATGAAGAATTATATAATTTCCAAGGGGCTCCTTGAAAAACAGCATTTTAAAAAATGTAATCTGACCGATTTACATTTTCTTGAACACTTTCTAAAATGTGTTTTGAGGTACCTAAATGACTTTTTCAAAGGGCTTGGGTTTTTTTTAAAATTAATTAGAATGATTGTTGATTAAATATTTTAATCTTAATATTTCTTACCTCTAGCAATTTAGGTTTATGTCAGATTTTTAGTATATTTATAATATTACATAATACATGAGTTCCTTTGTGTAATCAAAGATCATTTTACCCATTTTGAATGGGTAAGATGATTTTACCTGTTCAGATCATAAGATTCATAGTGCTGCATTTACATTTATGGTATGCTGGTGTTACTTAAAGTATGACCACTACTCAAAGCCAAGTTTTATATAGAAACCCACTATATAAATAGATACACTTCATGGACATTCTATTCCTTATGCTGATGGAGCTACTAGACACTCCCCACAGGCCTCCAAGGTTTGACAGTCTATGGTTTAGTGGAAAGAGCTTTGCCCTAGATACCAGGAGGCCCAGGTTCAGCATTGCTAGTTAGCTATGAGGTTGTGGTTGTCTCCTTTTTATCATCTGCTAAATAGAAGGACTGTGTGAAATAACATCTATAGTCCCTTTTACTTCTAAAATTCTGTGGTTTTATAAGTGTGTAGCTATATTTTATGTGATGCTGGAGCCTTGAATAGGAATGTAACCCCAATTATAGTGACTTTTCCAGGACTATCTTAGTGAAACTAGGGCCTGTCTATGTTGTTTTTCATTTGTGAGATACAGTTCTATGTGTAAGATAGTTTTTCTTGTTCAACTTTTATAATAAGTTCCTCTCCCCATGCCCCATGTCATAGTAGATATTTTGGTAGGATAGGTGCAGATATCTAGCCCAGAATTTGGTGTATGGGTCTAAAACTGAGGAGAAAAATCAGATTTGGAGTCATCAGTCCATGGGGTTGCCAAGAATCAGACATGACTGAATGACTAACACTTGAACTTTCCATGTAGGTGATAAAAATTTGGAAGTAAATGAGATTAGTTAGGGGAAAGAACAGAAGGAGGGAGCAGACAGATAAGAATGGACTCCACATTTGAGGGGTGAAGGAAAATATGTAACTCTGTAAGAAACAAATAGAAAAAGAAAGAAATAAAAGAAGCAGATGGGATTGTGTGTCACTGATAAGAAGAGAGAGTTTAAAAAACGAAAAATTGAGCCCCCCAACACCAAAAAAATCCTGTCATAATGTTAGAGTGCACTGTTCAAGAAAGATAAGTCAACCTTGAAGGTAAAGGGTGTCTACAAAAACAGTTTAAACCAATGAGGGCATGCAGTTCTGTGTATAAAAGTAAAACTGTTGTCAAAAGTTCCGTTCGTGTTTTGTTTTAAAAAAAGTTTTTTAAAATCATGCTTAGTGTTGAAGAGGAATCCATTTACAAAGTTTGTTTTGGCTGGTGAATAGAAAGCTGAAAAACATCTGGGTTCTGGTCTGTACTCCATCCATTATTTTAACTGCACAAGCATTCAGTCATCTAATAGAGTGGGAGATCTGTAAACAGATCAGTTGTTGTCAGGTTGGTAACTGCTATACCAAAGATGACAAAAAGTTCTTGGGCAAATGATTTACGCCTTGGGGGACTCAGTTTCTTTACCTATAAAATAATAATCAATTATTATTCATAGTTGATGTAGCAACTCTTCACACAGTTTTGCATTGTCATAATGTTATTTGCTTCTAAAATATTTTTCTTTAAAAAGTATAAGTGCATATATATGTTTGTATACATATCTGTGTACTTAATATATGTTAAAAAAATTCATTATATGGTACACTTGATAAAAAAAAAAGTCTGTCCATACTCTTGAGTCTGTCGAGCCCTCAGCTAATGGAGTGTGTATAGTAAGACAGACCATACTAAATGCTGTTGGTTGGTGAGTACTGTCTACTTTAATCCAGTGAGAGTTCTACCATTCTCTGAAGACTTGAGCATTTTTGAAACATGTATTGTTTGTCTTCTGAATTTTATTTTGCTGCCATTTTTAAAAGTGGGGAGTGGTTTTGACCCATAATGAGTGACAAAGGGATGCAAGTAAAGACTGTCTTGCTGGTTATGAAAATTTAAGTTTTACAAAGAGTGGTGGCTGAGATGCCTTCAATGAAATGGTTGAGGAAAATGAAGGTAAAGATTGCTGGGCATTTATGAATAAGTGACCACCAAGTTATCTTCCTGAAGCATGGACAGTCTCTCATTGTCAAAAGTGCCCATTTTGTGTCCTTTGAATACAGGGTGACTTTGTATTCAAGACATTTATTAGCTTGTGTTATGTGCCCTGTACAGTGCTAGTTGCTGGAGTTATTTTGATGGAAAAAAATAAGATATAGGCCTCTTGAGTGTTACGATTTGGTAGGAAAGATAGAGTTAAACAAGGGACATGTAGGAGGTAGATTTTGCCCAAGCACTGTATTGAGCCAGTGTTCTACCTACCACTGGTTCTTAACAGAATCCATGTAAACTGCATCGTGTATCTCTGGCTCAGCCTGTCCCTCCCTCTCAGTATTCCCACACTCTAGGATAGGCGTGGTTTAAGAAAAAAATTCTGAAATTTTGTAATTAAGTATCTGAATCTCTAGAAACATGTCAATAAGCATGTATGGTGCATGTGACAAGAAAAAAGGTTAAGAATTTCAGGCTAGGGTAATAACATTCAAATCTGTATTTGCAAGCCAGACTATTTTCTTGAATACAAACACCACACTTGTAAAAATTATTTGCTTTGTTTATTTAATCAGATTAAACAAACTTTATTTTAATTTCTTTTTGTCTATAGGTTCAGGGGCAAGTTCATCCAACCCTTGAGTCTAGTGATGATGCTCTTCAGTATGTTGAAGAATTAATTTTGCAACTATTAAATATGCTATGCCAAGCTCAGCCCCGAAGTGCTTCAGATGTAGAGGTATGATCAATTTTGCCTTGTATCTAATATGTGTGTTTATTGTAATATCAATGAAGAGGGGAGATGTTTGCTTTTCAGTTCCACACAATGTCTGTATGGTATTTTTAAAATGATGACTAGATTTCTTTTAACTTGGTATTGAGTGTCTGATAGCTTATATATGTTTTTGCATCAAAGTATTCCATAATTTGCTTTTAATCTAAAGTCAACTTTTATTGACCTCTAAATACTACTTCTTGATGCTAGAATGACAGATATACCTTTAAGAGTGGAATATGTCCAAGTGTTTTTTTTCTTCTTGTTGTTTTTTTAAAGTCAGCGATCATTTCAAAAGCATTTCAGCCAATCCTTTGATCTTCAGTGCTCTGTGTATTTTTAGATAGGAAGTGAACCCCTCCCCACCAATTGGAAGGGAGGGAAACATCAAAAATCTAGGAAGGAAGATGTCACAAAGATGACATGGCTCCTGTCTTTTTATGGCTTGTAGATTAGTGGAGATACAGGTAGATGTATGGGCAATAACATAATGTGATGTCTTGTGAGTAAAGGGTATGTGGGAAACCATAAAAAAAACAAAAAGCAAACTAATAATACAGACTTTGGGGCTTAAGTTTGGATTCTCAGAAGAAGAGCCACCTAAATTGAGTTCTTAAGGAGTCAAGTTTGAGAAGAGAAGAAGGTTTGAAGTACCAACTATAGAAAATGGGAGGTAGAGCTGGAAATACAAAAGGAGTTTTCTGGCAATGATGTAAGGTCATTTGACTTTGAAGACCTTGAATGTATAGTGTACAAATCTTTGCATTTCTGTGACATTTCTTTTGTGGTACTTGTGTGGGCTCAAAAAAGACAGCTGAGTTGAATGGTATTTCACCATGGCTATACAATGACAGAATAGTAGGGCAAGAGGATTGTGGAAATTAGTAATAGCAGTGCTTTACAACCTTTTTCAGGACACAACACACTAGAATGTAATAATGATTTTGTGGCGCACAGTGACTGGGAAGGAGGTGTATCTCTGTGTACCCCCGCTCTGTTCTCCTGAGGCAGTTAGGGATTGATACATAGTTATATCCAGTAGGAAGCTCAGCTGAAAAGAGCATCAGAGAATCAAATTGGATAAGGGGAAAAAAAAGAAATTTAATAACAGCTGATTTTTGAGTGCTTGCTATAGTATCATATTGCTCTAAACACTTCTATGTTTATATTTCATTTAAAGTTTTTAATAACCCCATGAAGATGGTACTGTTTTTCCTGTATTAGAGTATAAAGTCCAGAATATAAATTCTTATTCACTACCAAATCCCCAGCACCTATAACGATGTCTGGCGCTGAGAAGGCACTCGGGAAATATAGGTTGAATGAATTAATGTGGAAACTGGAGCATAGAGAGGCTAAGTAAGTTGCCCATGGTTATAGCTAGTAAGTAGTGAAGCCAAGACGCTAAATCAGAAAGTCTAAACTTTAGGGCATACATTCCAATAAACTCTTCTGTCAGTTAGGAGAGGGGCAGGTAGATTGGAAAAACATGGAGGAACAGGGATTTCCCAATAAGATCAGAGAGCTGATAACACTAGAATACCTGATAGAAATAGAAGAATACATTGGGATTAGAGACAAAGTTGTTAGAATTTAAGATTCTTAAGGTAACATAGTTCCAAAAGCAGGATGTCATAGATTAACTGACCATAGGTGAGTGAGTTTTTATCTGGACTTTCTATCCTGATTCATTGATCTATATTTCTGTTTTTGTGGCAGTACCATTATTGTTTGGATGACTGTAACTATGTAGTATAGTCTGAAGTCAGGGAGACTGATTCCTCCAGATTTGTTTTTCTTTCTCACGATTGCTTTGACTATTCGAGATCTTTTGTATTTCCATACAAATTAAAACTTTTTTTGGTTCTAGTTCTGTGAAAAATGGCATTGGTAATTTGATAGGGATTGCATTGAATCCTGTAGATTGCCTTGGGTTGTATGGTCTTTTGACAGTATTGATTCTTCTGATCCAAGAGCACGGAATATCTTTCCATCTGTTTGTGTCCTCTTTGATTTCTCTCATCAGCATCTTACAGTTTTCAAAATAACAGGCCTTTTGCCTCCTTCGATAGGTTTATTCCTAGGTATTTTATTCTTTCTGATGCAATGATAAATGGGGTGTTTCCTTAATTGTTATTTCTGATCTTTTGTCATTAGTGTATAGAAATGCAATAGCTTTCTGTGTATTAATTTTGTACCCTGCAACGTTACCGAATTCGTTGATGAACTGTAGTAGTTTTCTCGCAGCATCTTTAGGATTTTCTGTGTATAGTATGATGTCATTGCCAAACAGTGACAATACTTTTTTCCCAATTTGGATCCCTTTTATTTCTTTTTCCTTCATCTTAGACTTTCTTTTTACCCTGTGAACTATATCCTTAAATTTTAAAAGTTGGCTTTCCTTTTCCTTTCATTTTTTTTTCAACTTTTTTCCTTTTCCTTCATTCCTAAAGAATCTTTGTAGTTTCTAATAAGTTTGTCACTCACAACTAGATTTCCAAAGTGATTGCTCATTATTTTCTACCTTTCTAGGCAGAAAAAAAAAATTCTCCTCCACATTCTAAGCCTTTATTAATAGCACTTTAAAATGCCTCTGGGTCTGAATATTTGCACTAAAGTGCAGATATAGGAATTTTCATAGAGCCTAGAGTGTTTGTATTGGAATTAATCTTCAAGATTATCTATCTAGACACCTTTATTATGTAAAGGAAAAGACAGGTTCTGCTAATAAGAGACAGAGTTGAATTGTGAACCTAGCTCTTTATATTTTAGTTTTCCCAAGGCCACTAAATGTCAGTCAAAGTGGAGAGTCTCAAATTTTAAAGCAAAACTGTTAATCTTGAAAGTGGCAGAGTAATAGACTTTAATTCATGGATCTTTTATTGACCATTTCTCCTTGGGCTTCTTTACCTTAAATTATATAAGATAATTGTAAAAAGAAATTTTACTTTGCTCTAGAATTATAATTAAATTTTCCACTACAAGAGATAAAGTATTTCTTCCAGTCTGGCCTTTTTCACAATCAAGGCATCTTTTTGACCCTATCAGTCTTTCCCATGATCTTTGGTAATACTTCTCAAATAAACAGTCCAGTAATATACTAATAAATAAATTAAAAATGCTTTCTTCATCATTATTATTTTCCCTTTCTTGCTTTCTCTTTTATCATTCCTGACTTTCCTTCCCCTTCTTTCTCAAGACAGTAGATAAACTTGCAATTAGGTGGATAAGATTGAGGTGAGAAGGGATTGCTGTTGTGTTTTCTTTCTCTTCTACCTCAACCCCTGTCTACTGTTTGCCTCTGTAATTCTACCAATAGTTTTTTTTCCCAAAGATATATGTTAAGTGTATTTAGAATTGGTAGGTTGAGTTCAGCTTCTGTTCTATTCCACAGCTTTCTACCACCACTATATACCAGTGCTTTTTAGACTCTCAGTCATCACCCCTTATGCCCAACTAAATTTTTATAAATGAATAGGAAAAATCAGTGCATTACCTATAGTAAAAGAAAGTTTTGTTTTAAGAAACTTTGTTTCAGTTTACTATGTATGTGATTACAAGGGTGTGATGTAAAATGTATTAAAGAAAGAAAGTGATGTCGCTCAGTCGTGTCTGACTCTTTGCGACCCCATGGACAGTAGCCTGCACCAGGCTCCTCCATCCATGGGATTTTCTAGGCAAGAGTACTGGAGTGGGTTGCCATTTCCTTCTCCAATGTATTAAGAATTTATTATTTCTTACTATGCATTGAAGTTTGCCCACCCCCATGCCTGCCAGTGAGCTATGGGGTTATACTATTATAAGGTTTGTAATCATGGTTATACCTATACCTATTCAGTTAACCATGGGTTAATCCCATCAATTTGAAATTTTTAATTGAGAATTATGGTAAAGTTAGTCTAAAATCTCTTAATCATAATTTTTGGATGAGCAAGTGTATAATAGTGACTTGGAAAAAAGGAAAAGAATTCTTGTTTTGAATGTTCCTTTTCACCCATTTCCTCATTCCTTTATTATTTCTTTTTCACTTGCCAAACTCCCCCAGTATTTTGGGCCTTTGTATTGCCTTTATTATATAGGTTATAGTATCCTAGCAAATAGCTTTTCAACTAGACATTTGAAAATGTTTGTTAACTCCATTTTTAACTACAGTAATTTTTTTCATTAGAATTAAAATGATCACTTCTTACATTTGACAGCTGACTTTGCCTTGAACATAGATGAAGAGAAAATTTAAACTTGAGTGGGTTAAACTATTTTCAGTTCATAAATTTGTTCATAACATGTCCTGGAATTACTGTGTCCTTTTTCCTACAGGATATCACATAGTGATCTCTTCAATAGCAATTGCTAGGACTTTCAATTTACATTTATTATAATTTTACCTAATAATTTTTACATATTACTAGCTAAATATGGAACAATTCAAAATACGTGTTAAAATTATGTAATAGTGACCTCTACTGGTTGTAATTATGGTATCCTGAAAGTGGATTTTAGAAACTTAAGAGGTTGAAAGTGCCTTTTGTTTGAAATGAATTATATTAGTTTACTAAAGTCGGAAAATTCAGCTTTTACATTAACATGCGTTCTTTAACTTTCAATGGAAATTGTAACCAGATGAGTGCTAGACGGTAAAATGAAGTATTGTGATGAAAATTAATGATCTGTGGAAGATGCAAACTAATGATAAAACTACAGTGTGTTAAAGTTGGCTGTTACTAATGTAAACCTTGATTTCCTTGCTTTACAAATAGTTTTGAAATCAAGTACCTCTTTGCATGATGGATAAAGAAAAACAATTCTTAGAAATTTCAAGTGTAAAATGGTATTTTAGATTATAATTGATGTTGAAAGAAAGGACAGATGAAAATTGAATTTTAGATATTTGCTTTTTGAACTTAGATCTTGTTCCTTGAAATTTTATGTAATAATGTTTTAAATAGCTTCTGCTCATTCTTATTATCAGCTTTATCATGGTGAAGTAGAAATTCAGAATATGATTTCCCCCAGTTAATAGAAGGAGCATTTAGACTCTATTGCCTAATTAAGAAACTAGTACTTTGGCAGTTATAGTTGTCTCTTAGTTTAGGTATGTTTGTAGTGTAAATTATACCACATGTGAAACACCTGCTTTTGGTATTCTTTGATTTTAAAAGTAAATTATAAGTGAAGAACACTTTTTACTATATTTGTTGCTTAGTTGTTATTTTCCTATTTTCCAAGGAACGTGTTCAAAAAAGTTTCCCTCATCCAATTGATAAGTGGGCAATAGCTGATGCCCAATCGGCTATTGAAAAGAGGAAGCGAAGAAACCCTTTATCTCTCCCAGTAGAAAAAATCCATCCTTTGTTAAAGGTAAAGCTGAAATACTACCTTCTTGCCTCTTAAAAGCAAAATAAAACCCATGATTTTTAAGCACAGGGAATATATTTTATGGATAATAGAGTCAACTGAAGAGTGACATCCTCTCATTTTAGTTTTTCAGGAGTTTATGTCATGGGGAGGGATAATATAATAGGAAAGTATATGTTCAGCAACATGATTTAAAGTAGTTTCATACCCACAGTAATCATCAAATTGAAAGGACTAAGAAAGTTATAATTGTGAATTTTGTTGATCTCAGATGTTACCAGAATCTCAAAGAGTTTGCAAAACTCCTTTTTCTATTGGCTAGACATACTTGTCCCTATAAATCCTTCAGATTTTAATCCTTCACATCATTAGAGGTGTAGGGACCTCTGTAAGATTGCCATAGGGCCATGTGTCATCTTTGAACAAAAATTCCATAAAGATCACCTATACTATCTAGTCTTGCTGCGCTTAGTCGCTCAGTCATGTCTGACTCTTTGCAACCTCTTGGACTGTAGTGTGGCCCGCCAGGCTCCTTTGTCCATAGGGATTCTCCCAACAAGAATATTGGAGTGGGTCGCCATTTCCTCCTCCCGGGGATCTTCCCAACTCAGGGATCGAACCCAGGTCTCCCACATTGCAGGCAGATTCTTTACCATCTGTGCCACCAGGGAAGCCCAAAACTACCGGAGTGGGTAGCCTATCCCTTCTCCGGGGCATCTTCCTGACCCAGGAATCAAACTGGGGTCTCCTGCATTACAGGCGGATTTTGAACCTGCTGAGCTACCAGGGAAGCCCTACTATCTAGTCTTACTTGTCATTTATATTAGTCTAGTCAGTCAGTTGAATCTCTCCAGAACTAATAGAAAAAATAACTGCTGGAAACTTTAATAATGTTATTTTCATTTTATTTAATGACATTATTGATTAGCTCTCACATCAAAAATATGGGTATTAGAATAATTAAAATCTTAATAATACTTCTGATGTCAATAATTTTTTACTATAATATAAGCAAAATGCTAATACTTTTATACATCATGTCTAAGTTTTATTATTCAACAGGGTTAATTATTATCATCCCCACTTTGTAGATGAGGTAACTGAGCAGAAAGTGGTTAAGTAACTTTTTGTCCCAAGTTCACAGAGCTCTAAGTGATAGTGTTAGGAAATTCAAGTCTGGCTGGACACTTGTATGATTAAGACTATCAAAAAGTTATGTTTTGTCCTTTATTGTTTGAACAGAAATATCTGCCTGTATCTTACTAACTGGTCTGAGGATGTTAAGTGCAACTTACACAAATTACTAAGCTATTAGTTGTTGCACTTCTTTATGATTCTCTTATAGTTGATTTATAATGTTATATTAGTGTCAGGTGAACAACATAGTGAGTCAGTGTTTTTGTAGATTGTACTCCATTTAAGGTTATTATAAAATACATAAACTTATTTTGAAGTTTTTCTTAATTGGATTGTTTAGAAAATAGAACCTATTTTCCTATGTGAATTGATCAGGCCCACAAAAGCCATACTCTCTTTGAAATCGGATAGTGGTACTCTAATGTGCCCTTAATAACCACTGTTGTCCAGCAGGGCACAGCAGGAATGGTTTTTCCATAGAAACAACTTAGATACCAGGAATGCACCACTAGGTTTCTAGGAAGTCCAGGTTCCTTTGGCTAGAAGGGTAAGAGGTATAAGGGTAGTAGATATTCCCAGATACCAATTAAAGGAAAAGAAACTTGTTTGTCATTATTGATTCTGGGAATTCTGAATTAGATAACAATGAGCATTTTCCCCTCCCACAGACTTGGGCTTCCCTTCCTAGTTGAGGGATTATCTCTCTAGTTATCTGTACTTCTTAAGTATTTTACATGATCATAGGTAATTTTGCCTTACCTTTTCTTATCTTACATTTTCAAATAGCAATATGTATATTATTCATAGATGTACCACTTTATAATTAAATGTTGTTGATAATCACAGGCCTCACTAAACGTTAAGCTAAACTGTACACATTTTAAAAAAATCAGTTTGTCAAATTTATAGTAAATAATTTTAAACGTGCTTTTCTTTTAATTTTTCAGGAGGTCCTAGGTTATAAAATTGACCACCAGGTTTCTGTTTACATAGTAGCAGTATTAGAATACATTTCTGCAGACATTTTAAAGCTGGTGGGGAATTATGTGCGAAATATACGGCATTATGAGATTACAAAACAAGATATTAAAGTGGCAATGTGTGCTGATAAGGTAAGATACTGATCTATATGTTCTATTCTTATATTTTTATTTGTGACTTACTGGGTGCTAACATACTACTCAGACAGAATAGAATTGTATATTGTCTGTTAGGTTATACTTTTAGTAATCTAGAGTACTAAAATGTGTTTAAATATGTCATGTAGCTTTTCTTTTTATATTGCTGCATGTAGGGTTAATAACAGTAATTCATCTCTTATTAGTGAACTTCTTAAGTTTTTATTTGGATTGGAAGAACTAGAAGATTATGGATTTATTTGAAAACAATTTTTGAAAATGTACAAATACTAAACTCTTGATAGTTTTATTTCAGTGCCTAATTTTCTTTAGATACTGCTAGTATGGTTTTACTCTGATAATGTAAGAGCAAACATTTATTGAAAGTTGAGCATGTATGCGACTTATCTCATTTGGTCCCTAAGATATCCCTCTAAAATAGATACTCTTATGTACATTTTATAAAAGGGAAACTGAAGTTCACAGAGATAAAGAAATTGGTTCAGAATTTTCTGAGACGTTTCAAAGCCTAGAGTTGAACTCCAGATCTAAGTCTAAGTAATTGTAGTATACTACCTCAGTATTTTTATTTAATAAAAATGATCTTTCAGAAAAGAAAATATTTTCTAATAAAGTATTTTATCCCCTTTTTTCTGTTATTGATTTGAAATATTCTTTCTGATTACTGAATCCAGTTAAATATATTTTAGTATTTATTGTTCTTTCAGAATGTGAAAATCACCTGACCTGAAGGATTTCAAATTTTTTATTTTTTAATGAATAAGTATTTTAAAAGAGTAAATGAATATAAAATATTTGATACTTTTAAATGAATTGATAAAATATTTCTGAGTATGTATGTAGCTCACAGAGAAGACATGCCAGAGAAGTATAAAATAAGGCTGTAGATTTGATAAAAGGGTACTTACATTTGTGAAACAAGCAGAAAGTGATACAAGGTGTAAAATCTTATTTTATTGTTATAGGGATAATGATGTAGAAGTTCTCCGGAGGGAAAAGATGAGGTTTAGCAAGTGTAGTAGTAGTAGCAGCAGACTTCTTGGGGAAAAAGTGGGACTTATTTTGATCAATCACCAAGAAACCTGGGAGTTATTTAAATATGAGTTATGTGAGGCTCTGGAATGAAATGGTGATGCCAAGGGTATGAAACAGAGGAAACTCTAACAGAAATCCAAGACAAGATTTGGCAACAAATTAGAAATAGTAGATTAACAAGAGAGACAGACAGATACTAGTATTGACAGAGAACTTAGAAGAGGCAGTTTGTGATGCCTGATGTAAGATTCTGTCTCGGAGAAGCTGCCGAGGGAGCAAGTAGCATTCTGTCCAAGGAGAGGTCATTGTGTGTATGTGTACTGTCATGTAAGAACTGTGCTCAAATAGCAGATTTTGTTTAACTTCACATTTGACTATAGATTCATATTTTATTGTAGTTTTTTATATCTCTGACTATGCAGGTATTGATGGATATGTTTCATCAAGATGTGGAAGATATAAATATATTATCTTTAACGGATGAAGAGCCTTCCACCTCAGGAGAGCAGACTTATTATGACTTGGTAAAAGCATTTATGGCAGAAATTCGACAATACATAAGGGAACTTAATTTAATTATAAAAGTTTTTAGAGAGCCCTTTGTCTCCAATTCAAAATTGTTTTCAGCTAATGTAAGTATCATTGTGTGAATGTATGTCATTGCATGTGTTGTTAATTTTACATGACCACTCAAATTTGAATTTGTATAGTTCATGACTGCTAATTGGTCCATTTTTTAAAAGTTGTAGGGTTTAATTTATCATGATTATGGTCACAAATGAAGTTCCTACAACAGTTTTAATTTATTTTTTAATTTCAAGGACAATTGCTTTACAATGTTATATGTTGGTTTTTGCCACACAGCAATACAGATCAGCCATAATTATACATATATCTGCTCCCTGTTGAGCCTCTCTCCCCTCCTCCTGCTACAGCAGTTTTGATAAATTAAACACCAGAAATTAAAAGACAAAATCTAAGCTAGACTGATTATGTAAGTATAAATGAATTCACAGAATCTTCCAGAGAATAAAGCCTCTTGTTTAGGTGGAAGATTTCTGTGTTTGACTCATTTGCATCATTGAACGAACACTGCATCAGTGCTGCCTATATTGTTAGAGGCCGTACTTGGCAGTGGAGATTCAAAGATAAATCAAAAGCTGTTTACTTTTCTCAAGTATAGTCTAGTCAAGACAGAGATGTCAACTTTAAATTGCAATACAGTACGAATTCCCATGACAGAAGTGTGTGCTGATGTGCTGTGTGCTAATTACCATGACAGAAGTATGACAGCAGTATTTTGGGGAGCGCAAAGGAAGGAGCCAATGACTGAAAATTAGAGAAGGGATTACTGATCTTACAGTAGTAATCAAACCAACCTGACTGGGTCCTGGAGAAGTACTAAGAAAGAATAGCTGAGATTGTCTAAGGAAGTTGCATCCTAGTAATTTCTAAAACTGTACCTACATAGTCATGGATGACTGATGGAGATGTGGTGCTCACAACAGAGGCTGAGACTGATGTTCAGTCATTGTTATGACAATGAGTGAACATTAAAAAATAAAGGAGTAAATTATGAGTTGTACAAATCTGTAAATATAGTAAAAACCATTTAATTGTTTACTTTCAATGGATGACTTGCATTGCCTATAAATAATATTTTAATGAAGTTGTTTAAAAAGAGAGAGATAATGAGTAGGCAAAGATATTCTTAGGACACAAAAAAATCAAGAACTATAAAATTAAAAATTAATAAGCTAGACTGCATTAAGACAAAAAAAACTTTTGCTCTTCAAAAAGCATTGTCAGAAAAATAAGAACATAAGCCACATATTGGTGGAAGCTATTTCAAATACATAAATCTAACAAAGGATTGTATTCAGAATATATAAAGAACTTCAGCAATTCAGTAATGAGAAAAACAGCTTGATACTTTTAAATGGGCAAAAAATTTGAACACTTTATAAAAGAAGATACAACAGTGATCAGAAAGCATGTCAAAGGATGACCAACATCAGTAGTCATGGTGTTAATCATTTAGTTGTGTCCGACCCTTTGTGACCCCATGGACTGTAGCCTGCCAGGCTCTTCTGTCCATGGGATTTCCCACGCACGAATACTGGAGAGGGTTGCCATTCCCTTCTCCAGGGGATCTTCCTGACCCAGGGATCCCGGGTCTCTCGCATTGCAGGTGATTCTTTACCATCTGAGCCAGACTCCCACACATCTTAATAGTCATAAGGAAAATGCAAATTAAGAGCATTATGAGACACTACTGGATACTCATTAGAAAAGCTAGAATTAAAAAGACTGACAATACTGGATGTTGAAAAGAATGTGGAGCAACTGCTTTTGGGAAATGTAAAATTCCCACATTACCTGTGAGAATATAAGCTGGTTTAAATAGTTAGGAAAATAATTTGGTAATTTCATTTAACATTAACCATAAATTAGCCATCAGTTCAGTTCAGTTCAGTCGCTCAGTCATGTCCGACTCTTTGCAACCCCATGAATCGCAGCACGCCAGGCCTCCCTGTCTATCACCAACTCCCGGAGTTTACTCATACTACCTAGCAATTCCACTACAAAATCACACTTGGGCAAAACATCCATTCAAAGTTCAAAATAGACCAGTGGATTTTAACAATACAAAGTTTATATAATTTCAGATTCTACCTTGCAACTAACCTTTAAGAAGCTACATATTGACTTGTGTAATACTATAAAAAGATAATCACTCCATATATATGCAATGTCCAGAATAGGCAAATCCATAGAGATAAAAAGTGGATCAGTAGTTCCCAGAGACTGGGAGTGGGTGTGCAAGGGAAGAATGGAGAGTGCTGCTAATGGATACAGTTTTTTTAGGGGGGGATGATGATTTTCTAGAATTTGATGGTAGTAACGATTGAATAGTTTGTGAATATGTGAAAACCATTGAATAGTATACCTAAGAGTGAATTTTATGATATGTAACTTGTATCTCCATAAAAATAGCTATGAAGGAAAAGGAGAGTATCTATAATTATTTGAGTAGACTATTAAAATAGTCCTTTCTTTTCCAATTACATGTCTTTTAAAGTTAGATTTTCCTCATATGCTTTAACCAAAGCAGTGTATCACAACAGATAGAATGCAGAAATATACATGAAAAGCCAGCTATCTGCCATTAAGCTAGGTATTAGAGATTGTGTTAGAAAATGTAAAGCAAAAAAAAAGTAAAGCAGTACCATTCTCCTCACTAAGATTTTTGGTTGTTTTAGAGAAACTAGCTGCTTTTCATAAAAGTGCTATTTATTGTTGTTTTCAAATGAATTAAATGTTTTATAATTTTCTTGGTTTTAATGTCTAAAATGGTAAGTGTAGTAAATGGCAATAGTAAATAATTTCTAATATAGTAAACAAATAGAGTTTTTAATAATTTTTAAGAGTATGAAGGAATCTTGAGACCAGAAAGTTTGAGAACCAGTGACCTACAGCAATGTACCTACAAATTGTACTTCATTGCAAAAGGAATTCCTTGTCTTTTACTTGTATTTGTAAAGTTGTTAAAATTTTTCGCTATATCTGCCATTTAAAATTTCATGATTATAAAATGACTTATTGGCTCAAAATAATTTTTTTATTATACAACCTAACTGAATTAATGTGTTTTTCTTTCCAACAGGATGTAGAAAATATATTTAGTCGTATAGTAGATATACATGAACTTAGTGTAAAATTACTGGGCCATATAGAAGATACTGTGGAAATGACAGATGAAGGCAGTCCCCATCCATTAGTAGGAAGCTGCTTTGAAGACTTAGCAGAGGTAAGTACTTTAATTATACACCCAAAATTTCTGAATTTAGAAGGTCTAAATGCAGTTCAAAGGCCTAGATTTAATTCAAATGCATTTGAGTAAAAATTGGAATCTGAATTCTTCTTTACAGCTAACATAGACATTAACTGCTGGCTACTCAGCGGTATTTCCCCTTCCTCAAAGGGTCACCGTCAGCATTTGTTGCCATTATTTCATAAAACTTAGAAAAAGTAATCTCTTTTCCATTATAAAAACAAGCAGATCCCCAAGCTGTTTTCAGATCCCACAGCTCACACTTAATTGGCTATCTTAGCAATGAAGAGGCCACAGAACTTGGGCTTGAGGTCAGGCTGCTTATGTTTCAATCTAAACTCTTCTACCGCCCCCGCCGCCGGGGTGCTCTAGGAGCCGCGCGGAGACCCTCTGCACGCGTGCGAACAGGGCGCTGCCAGCGGTGCGGGGCGTGCGGGCCGCGGTGGGCAGCCTGCGCGCCATCTCGGCACCCAGCGCGCCCTGCTCGCCGCGGCCCTGGGGACTGGCCGTCCGGGCACTGCGCACCGGCCCTGCTCTGCTGTCGGTGCGGAAATTCACAGAAACACACGAATGGGTGACAACAGAAAACGGTGTTGGAACAGTGGGAATCAGCAATTTTGCACAGGAAGTTTTGGGAGATGTTTACTGTAGTCTGCCTGAAGTTGGGACAAAGTTGAATAAACAAGAGGAGTTTGGTGCTTTGAAAAGTGTGAAAGCTGCTAGTGAACTCTATTCCCCTCTATCAGGAGAAGTAACGGAAATTAATAAAGCTCTAGCAGAAAATCCAGGACTTGTCAACAAGTCTTGTTATGAAGATGGTTGGCTGATCAAGATGACATTCAGTAACCCTTCAGAACTAGATGAACTAATGAGTAAGAAGCATATGAAAAATACATAAAATCTATTGAGGAATGAAAATGGAACCCCTAAATAAACTGCTTTGAAACAACTTAATCTAGCATAGTTGTCTTAAATTAGTGGTGGATAGATATTTAAAAAGCAACTTTTAGCAAAAGAAACTACTTGTAAACAATGTTTCCTGAAGAAAATACCCCTTAACTTTCTAATGCCTTCAGATAAACACTGTGTATCTTTTCCACGGCATCCTGTGATTTTTTAGGCTAGGCTCCAGTTATAATATTCAGAATTCCTGAAATTATCTCTGATAAAACTAATTACAAAAATTATGTAATTCAAGGATAACATGGTTATCTTATACCTTATATGACATTGTAACTTGCTTACAGCTATCCTTGGATTTGGGTCAAAATGATCTTCCCACTAGAAACAACTGGCAGTGGAGAAAAGTTTGTTAGTTGTATAGTATCCAGTGAAGAATATTACTGTCTTAACTTTGCAATATACTGTGTTTGCTGGTGCTATTTTTATACAGTGGAGCAACAGCCTTGCAGGAGAATAAACAATTTAATAATAAAATATTCAACTTGTTAATCAGGAAAAAAATAAATAAACTCTTCTACTTATTAGTTATATGTAACCATGGGCAATTTACTTCACATCTCTAAACCTCCCTATCTATATTTGTAAAATAAGGATAATAATAGGACTCAGGATTTTGTGAAAGTTAAATAACATACCTGAAATATTTAGCTAGCAACCTTCATACAGCTACTTAATATGTGATAACTGTGCATTATTATTTAGAAAGAGAAAATGAAGTCCGTGACCTAGTGGAATGGTGATAAAGAATCTGCCTGCCACTGCAGGAGACCTGGGTTCAGTCCGCAGGTCAGAAAGATCCTCTGGAGAAGGGAATGGCAGCCCACTCCAGTATTCTTGCCTGGGAACTCCCATGGACAGAGGAGCCTGGTGGGCTACAGTGTATGTGGTCGCAAAAGAGTCAGACATGACTTAGCAACTAAACAAGTGCATTATTATTTAGAATAGGAAAATCAAGTCTAAGGCTTAGATGATGATCATAAGGGTAGAAAAATGGTAACCTTCGTGATACTTCAGCTGCTAAAATATACAAGTTAGCATTATTGTCATTCTGAAATTTCTAGCTCTTGCTTTGTTCTCATTCTAAAATCAACTATATCTTTTATTATAACTCAGGGTTGAGTTTATAAAACAAATTAAGACTTTCAGACAAAATAATAATGCTGAGTTTAAGCTTCACTACAGCCCCTCAGTGTTGCTTTAACTACATAAAAGTCATAAAGTATAAAAAGAAAAAAGGAATATACATAACTAGACTCAAAAACAAGGATGTTCTTCAGCCAGAGGGAAAGTTCTACTCAGAGAAAAGTCAAGGAATACAAGAACTAATGGTAGGAAATGTAGTAGTAAATTTTATAAGCTATTGCATATTTTTAAAACCAAACAGCTTTTTTTTTTTAACTTGAAGAGTGAACTAAACTTCTCAGTGCATAATATGGGCTTACCTTCAGAGGATAAGAAAAACTAAACCAGTTTGAAAGTGAAAACCCATCAAAGTGAAAGTCACTTAGTCGTGTCCAACTCTTTGCGACCCCATAGACTGTAGCCCGCCAGGCTCCTCTGTCCATGTAATTCTCCAGGCAAGAATACTGGAGTAAGTAGCCATTCCCTTCTCCATGGGATCTTCCCAACCCAGGGGTTGAACCGAGGTCTCCCACATTGCAGGTGTATTCTTTACCAGCTGAGCCACCAGGGAAGCCCAAGAATACTGGAGTGGGGAGCCTATCCCTTCTCCAGGGGATCTTTCTCACTCAGGAATCAAACCAGGGTCTCCTGCATTACAGGGAGATTCTTTACCAGCTGAGCTATCAGGGAAAACCTGGTACCAGGGACAGAGAATGTCAAGTTTAAACAACTTTAAACTCTCTTTAAAGTTTGGGAAAAAAAAATTATAAATAATAGCAAACTGTATTTGATTTTTAAAACATTTAGGAAAATCACCAAATAATAGAAATACTACCTATAACAGTGCACAAAAATATAGAAACAATTTTTAATCATTTCTACGATAATAGGAAAAAATAATGAAGCAAAGAAAGCAGTGATAATGAAAACAAAATACAGTCATCCTTCAGTATTCATGGGGAATTGGTTTCAGGAATCCCCTTTCCAATATCAGAATCTGTGGATGCTCAAGTAACTTCATATAAAATGGTATAGTACAGTTAGCCTTCTGTATCAGCAGATGTGGAAGACAGATACAGAGGGCCGACTGTGTAGTATGATACAAATAAATCCAACTACGTCACGCTACTACATCAGTAACTCAGTATGCGCAAACTGCTGAAACTTGCCTATTTAAAGAACATACTTAATTTTTTTAAGGTCTGTTTTATGCAGCTTATAAGTGAAAGTGAAAGTCACTCGAGTTGTGTCTGACTCTGCCTGACCCTATGGACTATATAGTCCATGGAATTCTCCAGGCCAGAATACTGGAATGGGTAGCCACCTAGAGATCAAACCCAGGTCTCCCGCATCGCAGGTGGATTCTTACCATCTGAGCCACCAGGGGAGCCCAGAAGACTGGAGTGGGCAGCCTATCCCTTCTCTAGCGGATCTTCCCAAACCAGGAATCGAACCAGGGTCCTCCTGCATTGCAGGCGGATTCTTTACCAGCTGAGCCACCAGAGAAGCCCAAGAAGACTGGAGTGGGCAGCCTGTCCCTTCTCTAGCGGATCTTCCCAAACCAGGAATCTAACCAGGGTCCTCCTGCATTGCAGGCAGATTCTTTACCAGCTGAGCTACCAGGGAAGCACTTATAAGACATATACCCAAAACAGAGACTCAGAAATACTAGGTTGGTGCAAACGTTAATTGCTGTTTCGGACCATGAATTTTAAATCATTATAACTAGGCTCAGGCACATCTTTATTCACCAAAATAGGAACCATTACAATGAGTACATTTTTGCCAGTGAGAAATAAGTTTGTGTATTCCTGTAGCATAAAAACCCATGCCTCAGGATTCCATGAACTCTTGAAAAGTATTTTTTGTCTCCTGCTGATTGTAGAAGTATATTTTCCCTGCAAAAAGTTGTCAAGCTGCTTGAAGAAGTGGTAGTTGGTTGGCAAGAGGTCAGGTGAATATGGTGGATGAGTCTTAAAACCACGAGGTATTCAGAAGTAAGCCCAATAAACATATGCAAGATTTTTGTTAACAAAATATTAAAATAGATTCATAAGGAAGATCAAAAATAGAGACACAAAAAGTGACTCGGTTTTAGGATTATATACATATATTTTTAAAACTGGGAAAGAATAATATAAGAAAAAAATGAACCTCTTTATACTCTAAAACACTGTGTCCAGTATAATATATCTTAGGATATATTTTATGATATATCTTATGGTTGAAGTTTTTAAAAAATTAATATTTCACATTAACATTAAAATCTCAACAAATAAGAAAAAGCATAGAAAGTTAAAGTCATTCAGAAATTTCTTTAAAATGTTGGCCAAGCTTTGCGCAGTGGCAGTATCGTAGCCAATGAGGTTTATCCGAGGCACGATTATTGCTAATTGAAAACTAAAATGTTGGCCAAAGTAGGAATAGAACGGACCTTTCTTAATCTAGTAAAGGATATCTATCAGAAACCTATAGAAGATATATTTAATGACTAAGCTGTAGGAAAATGCCACTCACTACTTATATTGAGCACTCTAATAGAGATACTAGCCAAAAGACAGGAAAAGAAGAAATAAAAGTGTTCTATTTGTAATCAGCATAATTGTCTACATAGCAGATCCAAGAAAATGTATAGTGTTATAACTATTAGGTAGGTTCAATATAGTTGCTAGATAAAAGACATATATGTGTGTATATATATTTTTTTCCTTAAAAAAATAAGTCTGAGAAATAGCAGGGTAAGTTAAAATAAATACCATATTTTCTGTCATTCACTCCTAACTTCTTTTGCAGTCCTCCACTAGATGTCCTCTTCCTCCTCTTTCTAGAATTACCCTTCATAAAATTGAGCTCTTGCTAGAGTCTACAACACTATTTTCATAATAGGTTGGAGGTTTTGTATTTTTATTTTTACCTGGAATAGGGCACAGGATGGAGGAGAGTGGAGATCCTACCTCCTGAGTAAAATCACAATACCTACTCACTTTTTTTCTTCAGGATTCACCAGAACTAGTAGATTATAACCTTTAGAATTATTTAGTTTATTAATGATTGATGATGGTAAAATTTTTTGGCAATTTGAATTAAATTATTTAATTGTTTTGTGAAAACTGTAACTGGATTTTAGGTGATATAAACAATTTACTTTCAGCTTGCAGGATGTGAAAGTAAGTCTACCTCTAAGAAGTAATCATGAGAAAATAAATGCTTGGCATAAGTATTCTAAATTTTTATACTTTATCTGGTTATAGATATCTATGCTTTTTATTATTCAGGCTAAATTTCATTTTCCAGATCCCAAATCCCCACATATGTTTGTTCATAATACTCTACTAGAATCCTTTCATGGGAGGCGTCATAACATGCTAGAATCCCATTACTCATCAGAAAAAAATCATTTTCTTTCTTACTTGAGAATATTAGGTTTACTCTAGTAAAATTAATAACTATGTAATTTTGCTTTGAGGCTTTAAAAGAAATATGTAATTGTGCAGTGATAGAAGTGCTCATAATACAATCTTTCTGTGTTTATGGAGGTGGGTTATTTATTCTTTACCGTACAGAAAGATTATTTATGTTTTACCTTTTTTATTTTCTAAGGAACTGGCATTTGATCCATATGAATCATATGCTCGAGATATTCTACGACCTGGTTTTCATGATCGTTTCCTTAGTCAGTTATCAAAGCCTGGAGCAGCACTCTATTTGCAGGTATAGTAATTTTTAGATCAAGATATAAGATGCCTGGAAAGTAAACTTAAAAATTAAATCACTTTGTTTTCTAGTCAATAGGCGAAGGTTTCAAAGAAGCTGTTCAATATGTTTTACCCAGGCTACTTCTAGCCCCCGTTTACCACTGTCTACATTACTTCGAACTTCTGAAGGTAAGAAAACTCTTTTTTCTACTTATAAAATATTCAAGTGTGATACAGTTTTTTACCAGTTTATTTGTGAACCATTATGTGAGTGCTCATGAATATGTCTATATCTGTTTTCTTTTTTCTAGTTCAGCAAATATATATGAATTTACAAAAGAGTGGCATATTTTCTCCAGTTTTAATTATGAATTTTAAAGCAGTCATCAGATATTTTTATCTTGTGTACTTCTTGCTTTCATGGCCAGTTGTTTGGAAACAATCTTGGATTTGTGCATCCTAGTCTCCATCTTAGGACCTCAGCAGATTCAGGGACTTAGATAAGGGACCACATGTTGGATAATGCCAAAGTAATGGAGAAGATTAATCATCTAATTTTCAAAGCTTAAGTTTGGAACTATGTCTATAAAAACTACTTATTATTAGTTTAGATACAGTAAACTATAGTAATCCTAGTAAAAAATTTCCCATTTGATTATAGATCAGAATACTCAATTTAAAAAGTACTGACAGAAAGGATTTTGCTTTTTTCCCCCTTTTCCTATTATGCACTGAAATTAACTAGGGAAAGGGGGAACATTAGTCTGTATAGTTCAATAGTGTAACTTAGTGATTTACTTTTAAATATCTTAAGTAACTAATGATGTCTGCTTTGGATTATGGATAATATATCCTAAAAAAAATCAAGTTTTCTCAAAAATTTTAAATAATGAATGAGATAATAAAGATATTTTATTTATCTATAATGAACTAGCCCCATGAAGACAAAATATGATATGCATTAATACTATTATTATTTCTTTAGCTTTTAAAAGAATGTTTCATTAAAGAAAAATTGTATTTAATATCATGTTGTTATGGAGCATGTATTACTGGAAATCAGATTTATAGTTTGCAGGAATACATGAAGAAATGGGCTCTCTATAATGAATCAATGAATGAATAGAAAGCCTCTAAATTTAGTAAACTGAAGGAACTCTCATCCTTCCCAGGTGTCTCTACATTGTGGGAACTTGGAGTTCAGTTAGATTTCTTAAGCAGGGCAGTTTGAATCAGGAAAGGACTGAGGAAGCTGAAGAACTTAATCACCAGGCAGAGTTATAAAGCTCTTAGCTCTCTGTTCTAGGCTGCAAACAGAATACAAGTTATGGTCTTTAGTAGTATAGGATGATTATTTTAAGAGGATAATCAAGAAGAAGCACTTGGTGTATAAAATCATTCTTTGTAAAGAATGACAAACCATAGTCTCAAAATGGGTCATTTGCACAGAAGTTTATTATATAGACCTTTCTTCATAATGGCATCTCTAATAATGGGATTTTTTTTTACCTGAGACTGTAATGAAGTTATCTTAATAGTATAAGAGAAATAAATTATTTACTCCCCCAAATATAGGCAATTAAATTTAAAAATTTTTTAAGTTATGGTATTGAATTTTTTGTTTTATAATTGCATCTATCAGCAATTTAAAAGATTTCTACTGGTAAACACCTGTATTCCTTGTTTGTATTACTGCCTAAATTTCATTGCAATATTAACAGTATATTGGGCAGGAAATTTTGCCCAATTAATTCCACAAATTGTCATCACTCCTTTTTATTCTGCCTTCCCTCAGCACTAAAGTACTACTTGTGTTTACTGTCTTTGATTTCGATTTGTTGGTATGTTGCTTAAATGATCTTATTGCGCAGTATTTCCAAAGTGTATTCCATGGACTGCTAGTCCTGTAAGGTACTCTAACGGTCTAGGGGAGGGAATGCCTTGGTGGTCCAGTGGTCAGGACTCCCTGCTCTCACTGCTGAGGGCCTGGGTTCAGTCCCTGGTTAGTGAACTAAGATGCCACGTGTTCAGTGGTCAAGTACATTTTGGAAAAACTGTACCCTTAATTACACTCCTAGAAATGTTCAGTATATGTTAGAATATTAAAGCCTTTGTAAAATTGTGCAATAAAGCAATCTATATAAAACTATATAAAGCAGTTAATTCCCAAATTAATTAGTCCATTTGTTGTTTAGTTACTAAGACGTATCCAACTCTTTGTGACTCCATGGACTCCTCTGTCCATGGGATTTCCCAGGCAAGAATACTGGAGTGGATTGCCATTTCCTTCTCTGGGGAATCTTCCTGACCCAGCAGTTGAACCTGCATCTCCTGCATTGGCAGTCAGATTCTTTACTGCCAAGCCACCAGGGAAACCCAAGTAGGCCATGAAACCCTTAAAAAATGTAATGTTTTTCTGGCAGTTACTTTGGGAAAGTATCATAGAATTCTTCCATCAGAATAACTGAAAGACCTTCTAACACTTAATAGTCTTAAGATTTTTTTCCAACAACATGATCCTCACTAACTAAATTTTTTTAATCTGGGTATTGTCATAACTCCAAGTTCCAACGTGGACTTGGTGATTTGGGGCTCAACAATGATTAAATAAAATCAGCAGGGAACAGCAAAATCTTAAGACATCATTGACAATTGGAATAATTTATCTATGGCATGGAGTGACCTCTGAAGGCTCACTGGACTAGATAGGAGTCTGATGTTGCTTTTCTGGTTCTAGACTGGTAGCCAACTAGCTGAGTTGCCTGCAACAAGTCACCTCATCTTCTGAGCCTTGGTTTTCTTATCTGTGAAATGCTTATCTCACTGGGTTGTTCTGTCAACCAGGAGAGTGTATGTAAAAGTATTTAAGATACAGTAAAAATATAAATACCGAGTATTGTCATTACTAGAGACTTTTCTTCTTGTCTTGTAGGTATCTTCAGCTTAAACTAACATTTTACTCCCTTCGTCTTTCACCAATTAGCTCTCTCTCCTGCCTGCCCGAATTTGTATTCCATTTCTTTGTTGATCAGCTCAGATCCCTTCACCAGAAGCCTCAGTGCCATCTTTGATTCTTCTCTCTCCCTTATTTGCAGAGCATCATGGTTTGATTCCAGAAATGAGTCTGAAATCCAGTCTGTTCCCCTGTTGCACTGACATGGCCTTAGGCCAGACCCTCAGCATGTCTTTCCTGGGTTACTGTAGCAGTTTCCTATAAGGTCTTGTATCTCATGGAACTCTTGGTTTGAAAAGTGCATTTAATGTCCTTTTGAACTGGGACTCAAAGTCTAAATTCTTTAACCTTTCTTCAGCCTCATCTCTCAATACTTGGTGTTATTTACCTTATGGTTTAGCCATAAAAAAATTTCCAAGCAGCCCTGGAAATGTCAAGTCTGTTCAGAATTCCTTATCTTTTTTTCTATTTCCCTGGAATTTCTCTTCTTTCTCTACCATCCCCTACCATTTCATCTGAGAAATTCCTGCTTATAAGAATTTGTTCAAATGTCGATTCTCTATCAAGTTTCCCTTCATTCTCTAGGCTGACCCTCTGACTAAGCTGCTTTATTTTCTTCATATCTCTATAGAACATGTCTCAGTTTTATTGTCTGCCTTGTCGTCAGAATGGAGCTAAACCCTGTGTATCTTTGAATTCTCTTGCCTAGCAGTGTTTGGCATTTAGACATTTAATAAATGCTTGTTACAAGATGAATAGCAAAAATAAGGTAAGTTTTCCTTAGGATTTATGTTTTAGGAATAGTTAACCTGTCAATTGTATATAATTACATTTACTTTGGAAATTTAGAATGCCTTGAACTTTACAAATTCAGAGAATAAAAGTTTAGTTATTGATAGTATGACTTTAATGCCACTGAAACTGGAAAAAAGAAGTAACTCCCTTACCCGCCCCCCTCAAGTTAGGAGTCAAGTCTTTGAAACCTTTAATTAACTTTTTCACATTAAAATTCATTTAAAATCAACAACAACTTCCTTTGTGTCCTTTTGAAAACCTTATTGCTCTAGTAATGTGATTTTTCTATGTGAAGTTTAATTTGCTTTATTAAACAAATTTAGAGTTGTTTCTTGGGGCTAAGTATTTTGAAGTTTACCAAATCAGCACATTGTTCAGTTCAGCAACAATAGTAACCTTTTCTTTGTTCTTTAAATATATTGTTTTATCCTCTTAAGGTAAACTCAGACAAATGTTAGGAAAAATTATCCAGGATGATTTTGAGCAAATCAGTTCCCTAGAGAACTACCTATTCTTTTCCCAATGCACTGGATACATGTAACCTAGGAGATATAAATCGTCTCCCTTAATTTCAAAAGCCGGTTCAAATCTATATTGCAACTTGTGCATTAGTGTATTCGTTTCCACAGACTGAGTGGCTTAAAGACAACAGAAATGTATTCTTTCATAGTTCTGGGTGTCGACAGGGCCATGCTCTTTCTAAAGGCTCTAGAGAAGAATCCTTCCTGCCTTTTCTTTAGCTTCTGGTGTATCCCAGTAACCCTTGGCATCCTTTGGCTTATAGATCCCCTCACTTCAATCTTTGCCTCAGTCTTCTTTCTTTACATCTTCACATTCTTGTCTGTTTCCTCTGCATTCAAATCTCTCCTTCCTTTTTCATACAATACCAAGTTAGTGGATATAGGGCCTACCGTAATCCAGTGTGACCTCATCTCAGCTTGATTATATCTGCAAAGATACAATTTTCAAATAACATCATGTTCACAGGTACCAGGGGTTAGGACTTTGGAGGGAACACAGTTCAACCCATTACTTTCAGTTTTTAATATACTGTAAAAAAATTATATCCATTTTTGTTTTTCTGATTCTCCAGTATATACTGACTTGCTTAAACCCATAAAAATATATTTTTTGCATAGGCCAATTAATCATTGCTTCATGGTTTTAGACTTTAAAATTTAATTTCAGTCCGACAGCAATTTAGTGAAAAGCCAGCAATTGCAGTATTTTTCAAATAGTAAAAACTCACAGGGATACAGAATTACTAACAATCATCTGAGTAAGACTAATGTACATAACTGAGGTTGGAGTTATCATGTATGGTTTCCCTTAAATGAAAAAATAATATAAAATTTAACACTTAAAAACCTCCATTCTTTTCTTAGGTTTCACTGATAATAAAAAGTGCAAGACTAGCAAAATAATTGAGAGAAAACATTTC